TCCACTACTTATTAGTTGTGTGTGTGTGTGTGTGTGTGTGTGTGTGTGTGTGTGTGTAACATCCACTGGTTTGTAGTTACAACATATATCTTTCTAGTAGTATCCATATTCTACACATGCATTAATTCAGTGGTTCTCAAACTTTTGTACTGGTGACCCCTTTCACATAGCAAGCCTCTGTGTGCAACCCCCCTCCCCTTATTAGTGAAAAACACTTTTTTACATATTTAACACCATTATAAATGCTGGAGGCAAAGCGGGGCTTGGGGTGGAGGCTGACAGTTCGCAACCCCCCATGTAATAACCTCGTGACCCCCTGAGTGGTCCTGACCCCCAGTTTGAGAACCCCAGCTTTAATTGCTGATGGTGTTGTCTCTAAACAAACCAGTGTCTCACCACAGCTATCTCTGAATAGAAGTCTTGCTGCTCAAGTTGAGTCACTGTTTTCAATGGTTATGAATTTTACTTCTGTTTAATTCTCATGTAGATCTTGGCATTGGTAGCCACAGAAATGCTTGTGGATGGTGATGGATGAAAGACACAGCAAAGTCCTTCAGTCGTTGGCCATAGATTCTGTGATAAAAGTGGTGCCATTCTAAATAGTCACTGGTTTTCTTACACCACCTACGCCTGACACAAGTATTAACATCTGAAAATTTGACTAAAACAATACCTCTTGTGTGACCTGTGGTCAGGAACGGCACTGTGTGTTTTGGCTCATCATTGGCTCATCTGTAATGTGTGCTGGATTCCAGCTGTAATAGAATGCAGTCTTTAATTTATGTGTCCTTGCATGCTTGTTTTTTTCCCCCAAGCCCTCTAGACTCTTCTTTCAAATGGAATTTCCATTCCATTTTTCCTTTCTGTTGGATTGATGTCACCTGGGAGGGACAGAGCAGCCTTATAAATTGCATACTTTCCTGTTACTGAATTTAGCCATGTACTGTGTTCATATTAATCTCTGCTTTTTATGAAAGCGTAGAAGTGAACAGAAAGGCTTAGCTATATTTCTTCCTTAATGGAGTGTGAACTGAGTCCAATGATACTATGGCTAATTCACCATTGAAAACAAAATAAAAGAGCTGTTGGTTGCAAACATTTAACAGGGTCCTTGGCAGCAGAGAACTCAGAGAAATCCAAGGAAATAGCATTTCTGGGTGGGGGGAGGGAATAGAAAACAGTAAAACTAAAATTTTAAATTGAAATTCAGCTGTTTTTCAACCGGATTGATAGGTTTATTGTTTGCAAGTATTTCTCCATAAACCCATCTCTTTCCTCAACCCTGAAAAGAAGAAACAGGCCAAATGCAACACTGGCAAAAATGTCTATATCAGCGTCTGCATCTCTGTGGAAATCTTTCATTGGAGGAGTTGTATGTGCTTGCTGCACAGAGGGATTTGGCTCAAACTCACACACTTTAATGTTTGAAGTTAATCATCACACTGACAGTAGTATCTGTACTGGAGACCTAACCTACCACATTGGTTTACATCGTATTCTTCAGCTATCCAAGTTTAACCTTAAATTGACCTAATATTTGCAGAGTAAAGGGATGCATATGCAAAAGACCATCAGCTGGCATGGTATGCAATCAGAAGAGAGAGGTAAATAACCCCTCCAATTTATTCAATAGCAATTTTGCTGTTGAAGTGTTGAGCTGAACTAAGCCATAACCCATATTTTAAATATAGTAATCAGATAATATAAGGAAGCTATGCTGCATATTACTTAAACAAAATAAACAAAAAAGAAACCTCCCCCCTAGGTTTACCAGAAAATGATTTCACTTTGAATATACATATGTAATGTATAGTTAAGCGCTTAGGAAAGATATAGTTGTGGCTTGTTGGTATCACCTTTGTTTTGTTTTTTGAGTAATATGGAGAGAACAAACAGCTTTGCAGAACCCGTTAATAAAAAGACATTTTTAGCATTGGGAACAGTAGAATGTTCCGGCGTGCTATTCATGTTACAGTTAAATGACTGACACAGCTTCACTGCTTTGTGGACCTCATTTACCCTTATGACAGATATTTATTCACTCAAGGTGTATGTTGATGGAAGATAAAAGAACTCAATTGGATTTGTCCCTTACGCAGTTCTTTTCCATATCTTTTTCTGTATAAATATAACATTATCTAAAAATAATGTGTCTTACAATTTTTCTCAATTCTTCTGATGTATTCAAAATTAGTAATATCCTTATCTTGTTCTTGGAGGCGTTACTTGCTAGAATGCATGCCTCGACATGATAGGGTGTGCCTGACAGCTTTTCATAATAACTGGAGAAAGCAACCCCTCCTCTTTCTTCCAAAAAGCTACATGCAAAATATTATTGCAGGGATAGGCTTGTCATTTTAATTCTCTTATATTCAACTTGAACTGGGGGGGGGGGAGTGGAGGAGGATTGTTCAGGGGTTAATTCACTTTAATTGGAAGTATTCCACATAGATGTAACCTTAAACAGTAGCTGTTGCTTAAGTGGAGTAGGGACTTTATTTGATACATTACTTGAGTGAATTTTCTCGCCTATTTTCCTCTTTGGTCACCTGGGATTTCATACCAACATTCCAGATTGGAAGGAAGCCATATGACCTCACTGGATCTATAAAGGAGATCAAATTCTGCCCTCATGTGTCTGCAATTAAAATAGTCTTCAGTAGGAACTGGAGGTCCCTGACTGAAGGCAACATTTGGCTCCATGTTGGTTACTGCTCCATAACATAGAAATGTGGGTGGATTTAGATATATGGGGGAAAACTTGTGGCCTAGGATTGGCTGGAAAGTCATGTAATTGTTTCATTAAGCGGTGAGCATGGAGTGACCAGGCAAGTGTAGACCAATGAGCAGGTGTAAACTGAGTATAATACTCAATACCAGTCCCACTGGTTGCCCATGCAGTCTTATCTCTGGGGTGCAAGTTGTCAGTGGACAATGACCCTTGTGTTTGAGCAGTTTAATACAAGATCGGTTCTCTGTGATAAGAGCCATATGATAAATTGCATTTATCATGCATCTTTGACCATCCTATCTGTGCTATGCCCACTAATTCATCTCCTCTGAACCTCTTCCAATGTTCCAAATTCTGGGGCAGCATCAAATACCTGTTTTCAAAATACCTTTTTCACATATCTTTAAAATATGAAACTTTCCAAAATTACACAAGTAAATCAGATAGGAGATAATCAGTTCTGCACCAATGATGGTTTGGCATTTCAATATCTGATGACCCATAAGGACTAAAGTTAAGTTTCATAGATCATTGAAGGTGAAACCTCTCCAGTTTGCCAGTGGTATGACGTACTTAGCCCCGGAAGGTTATGAGTTATTTTAAGTGGAGCTAATAGCACAGCCTATAATTAAAGTTGCCTGACACTTCCCATTATAAGACCCTGTTTTCAGTTGCTTATCACTTTGCCAACCTTTAACCATTTGGACTGAAACTTACTATGCCAACTGTCTGCCTGAGGGTGGGTTCTCCACCCCCTCCCCGCAAGTTTCAGCAAAATGATGATTCATCCTTTTCAGAGAATGAGATTAGGGAAACTACGTTGTTTGTCAATATTGAAAAGAAATATTTCAGCTTGTTGTTGTTGAGAGGTTCTAATGCCCGCATGGTTTGTTTTTTGCAAGGGTGACTTTTGTGTTAGAGAGATGCCTGTTGCTGTCTCCATGGAAAACTACCCAAATTTGGCCAAGTCTTTTAAAACAAAAAAAGGCACATCATGTGTTCAGTAGATACTTATTAGGGTTTCACTATTTCCCAAAGATTCTTTCTGTACAACCCCTGAGGTTGCAGGAGCTGAGCAGGACTTTCTCTGCAGTTCTGATCCTGGAAGCTGTGGCACCAGGCCTTTCTTCTGTGCTCTCAGTGCTATTCCTGTTGTGGCCCTGGCAGCAGGAGGAGGTGGAAGGAAACTGACTGAAATGCACAGAGTTCAGGGTAGGGGGAAGAGATAATAGATTGGAACAGAGGAGCAAAGGGAAGACTGGGAACGGGTGTGTTTGGTAGGGGAGATTGGATCTGGCTGGGCAAGGAAAGTGGAGGGGAAAATTGGGAGTTGGGCTGGGGGAAGAGTGGGATCGGATATGGAGTTTGGAGGGGCAGACTAGGACTGGCTGGACAAAGACTGGTACTGGGATGAGCCGGGGTGGGATAGAAGACTGGTACAGGAAGCTGGAGTGGGGGGTGAAACTAGGATAAGGAAATAGGACTAGCACAGGGACAGGCTGGAGGGGACATGGGAAGAAAGGGTCAAACTTGGGGGGAGCAGGGGCAGAAGGTCTGTGCAGGGCACATTCCCCTCCAGAACCTGGAATGAAGCCAAGGATTCCCAAATCCCAGCATTCCTCTTTGAAAAATGGTGGAAAATTGTCTTATTCCACCCTAGTGGCTGGTCCACATAGAAGCTGACTACCTTATTAGCATTATCCGTTATCCTGTTGGTTCAAGTTTCAGAGGTCTGTGTAGTGGATCTAACAGTTCCAATCCTACTGATGAACCATGTGGATGTCAATATAATGCCACACGATAGAATTTCTGTTTTGTTCAGTTTTTTTTTAAAAGGAAATCACATACACAAAACTTAAAATAATATTAAGGTTGCAATGTCAAGCACTCACATGTTAGGAAATATCAGAATTAAGGTTTTTCTTCAAGTGCTGTCCCTGTGGGTGCTCTACTTCGGAGGTTGGTGCGTCCCAGCACTGTTGATCAGAGATTTATGTAGCAGTGTCCGTGCTGGTTGCGTGTGTGCAGTAGGCATCTCGCAGTGACACTGGTGCCATGTCTAGCGCGCACACGACCTGAGCTCTCTAGTGCTTTTTGAACCGTCCTCGGCTGAAGATGGAGCTCTGGGGCAGTCAAGTATCAGGGGGTAGTCGTATTAGTCTGTATTCACAAAAACAAGGAGTCCGGTGGCATCTTAAAGACTAACAGATTTATTTGGGCATAAGCTTTCATGGATAAAAAACCCACTTCTTCAGATGCATGGACTGAGAATTACAGATGCAGGCATTATTATACTGACATGTGAAGAGAAGGGAATTATGTCACAAGTAGAGGACCAATACAATCAGGGTGGATGTAGTTGACTCCCAACAATTGATGAAGAGGTGTCAGTCAACTCCAGGAGAGGAAAAGCTGCTTCTGTAGTGAGCCAGTCACTCCCAGTCCCTATTCAAGCCCAAAATTAATGGTGTTAAATTTGCAAATGAATTTTAGTTCTGCAGTTTCTCTTTGAAGTCTGTTTCTGAAGTTTTTTTGTTCAACTATGGCTACTTTTAAATCTGTAATAGAATGTCCAGGAAGATTGTCATATGGTCATATATAAAGTTAGTGTTATAGTTATTTTCATTACAAAAAAAGTTTATGTTCTCTAATTATCCATACTGCACTGGGGGTGGTTAACGGTGAAGATGCCTGGTTCCCCAGGCTTCAAGCGATGTGGCTCCTGCCATGAAGCAATGCCCATTTTGGACAGGCACTCCTTGTGTGCGTACAATGTCACAGTGAGGCACATATTCCACAAAAATGCGCCCACTGTAGCAATCTGAAAGCTAGAGACCCGCGTGACCTGGATCTCAGGCTAAAAATGATCTTGATGAAGAAATTTCTCCAACCTGAAACATACACATGGACTGCCTCTCTGGGCACTCCTCCTGTAGGAACAGGAGACATATCCTCCAAAAGACTGAGGAAGAGGGCACAGACGTCTCCGCAGAGAGCACTGCAGAAACAATGGCGGACTCCTGCCAGGTCGCTATCCCTGATGCCAACACATGCTTGGGTGAGCACCTATGATGCTCTGGGTACTTCTGGCACTGCCAAGTCCGAACGAAGGAGACAGAATCAAAGCACAGATGAAGACATGCCTCCTTACAGGTGAACTCAGTGCTGTGGAGGAGCTCGGTACCGAGCGTCTCTTCAGGCACCATGCCTCCGCCCCAGTTGGCACCAGTGGAGAAAACCAAGCCAGCACCTACCAAACCGCCGCAGCATCTGTTGGCACTGACGAGAGCACCCCCCTCAACACCAATGGTACCGACATCAGAACTGCCACAGTCTCTGCTGCAACGGAGAAATATGATTCTATCATCAGCATCGCAGTCCCCATTACTTGGTACTGAGTGCTCCCCTGTGGGCTATGGAGGAGATCCCCACATTTCTCATGAAGCGGTACATTCGTCCAGGGAAGACGATGATGAGGTGCAGGAACCATGCACTTTCTCACCACACCATCACCGAAAGAGCGATGACCACCTTGGAGCCGTATGGGGCCGAGATGCTATTACAACAAGATGGCTCAACCATGGTGCGGACCACCGTGTATGTATCCACCAATGGCCTTCCCAATGCAATGGGTACACTGGGAACCCTGGGCAACTTACTGGGGCCCCCACTCCAGTCTACCCACGGCTCATAGAGGCGAACTGAGGTCTAACCCCATTTCTCCCACCCCGCAGCCCACGGAGGTTCAGGAAGTTGGGGATGACACTGAAACAGGCACAGACCAGGCAGCTACATCTCCAGCACTCATCTTCCCTGGATGAGGCGATCATGCCACCACCGCCTACTTCGGTGGACGACTTCAAGCAGTTCCTGCTTAAATAGTTCCTGGTTGTTCAAAGCCAGGACATCCCATTGGAGGAAGTGCAGACAAACCAGCACAAGCTGGTACAAATCCTACAACCGTCATCTACTTCCAAGATCACTCTCCCCATCAATGATGCAAGCCTGGTGTTGTCAGACGCTACCCGTGTGGTGCTCTGCTCTGTTCAATGTTGATATCAATCGGCTGCATGTGTGTGTTCCCTCTGTGTGCTGCCCCAGCTCTGCGCAGATAGCTGACACAACAGATCCTGAGAGAACCCCCAATGACCACAGACTCTAGTAAGGTACGAAGGCACGTCGGCCAGGTTTATTGCCTTTAAAGATACAGTCTCCAGCTCCCAGGCAAACAAAGTCCAAGGTGCTGCTAAGGTGCTGCTAGCCAGTACATATGTGCTCCCTGACAATGGACTCAGCTCAGTCAGTGGCGGGACTTTCCACTGCCCCATAGGCTGGACCAAGACACCACCCCAGGGATGCATTCTTATACACAGGTACAAACAAGTTACACATCACTCCTGACGTATTGAGGTGCAACCCCTCTACGTAACAAGGTACAGCCCCACTATGTAGCAAGGTACAGCCTCTCACCTTGTACATGTTGGTTTGAACAAAACAACTCTATTCATCATATTATCCTTTTGGCCCTGTCATTGGGATAGGTCAGCTTGTTCCTTGTTATCTGTGTGGAATGTGCAAGTATTGGAGTGTTCTGATATCTAGTGTT